ATGAGGGGAAGTAGAGTTCTATCAAAAGATTGGAATTATGTTCCCCCAAGCCCATATTTCTTCCAGATAATGACACACACCTCTCCATACACTAACACACGCAGACACAGAGCTCTACTCCTAAGGCAGGAGTTTAAAATGGCTGGTATTGGTAATGGTAGAGGGTTGCATCCATCTTCATTGATCTTCCAGGGGCAGAGACAGTACAGCAAACTCTCTCTTGGACCATGTTTTCCCACTGATGGTAGGTGGGGCAGCCTCAGATAGAGATTTCTCATTACTAACATTTGTTTGCTGTTTTGCTGCACTTGAACTGTCAGTGTGACATTTTACAACCTCAACATGAGCAGGGCAGATATAGGTGGGAGATGGGCAGGCAGACAAAAACAACAAGAAGGCTGCTAAATGCCTTTCTGGAGAACTGGATGTTATTTGTACATCTGTTTGAGCTCCCCCATGCTGTACATAAACCAAAACATTCAGCTGAATATATATTTAAGGTAAACACTGGCCAAATGTCTGTGTTGAACTGGCAACTACACAAATTTGAGCTGTCCTACTGTCTCAGAAGATGACAGGACCCTTTCCCCACATCCACTCCAGCTTGGGAAATGGTCAGATGCGATGATGGGAACATTATAACTCAAAAACATTTGAGAGAGAGTGAATTACTTAAAAGTAGATCTCCAAAAGCCTGTGGGTTACACAAAGCTAATGCAAAAAATGAAAATAAATGTTGAAGCAGACCATTTTTCTACCCACTACAGGAATCTGCTGAAAATAAAAGTCTATTTTCAGAACTGGGGGAGTAAGGGAAGACTGCAGCAAATACTGAATTCAGCAATCTTTAGTCTTTCTGTGTTTGACTTTGCTGCTGCAATGAACTTCTGTCCTAATTTATTTGGCTTCAGAAAGACAGAACTGAAAAACAACCAGATGATAAATAATTATTAATGTGGAGCACATTACTAGTGATTACAGTGTTCCAAATCACCATATGCATGTTGCCACTGTGACACTGTAGTGATTAGAAAAAGCATATTATGGGTTCTGGTTAATATACTCCAGAGTTGACCAGAGGACTTTCATCTGTAGTTAGTGCTGTTCAGCAAAACTCATGGTTCAGAGCCATGATGGAGCCCGAGAACTGTAGTCTGACTGCATTCCATACAGTTATTTACTTGGAGATCATCTAACAGTGTCCCAAATTAAGTATTGTTTCCCATGACCTTTTTGTCTGCTAGGTTGGCCACAGGAACCAACCAGGTCCACACCTCTGGAAGCCAGTGCAGCTTTTCCCAGGACCCTGCCACACTTCAGAGTAGATGTAAAGGGAGATGTGATCTGCAGCACCTCTGAGTCACAACATCTTTTCACAGGGAACAAATCCCCCATCCCTGTGGGCTGGCTCTCAACCTCACAGTCCCACAGGCAGTTCCTCATAGTTTTCTTATTAAATCCGAGCTTTGGCTCATTCTACCTGCTGGCTTTGCATTACCCTGAGTCCTGATGACATTGGTGAGATCAATTCCCCAAGGGTACAGGCTCCTCTTTCAGATGTCCTAAAGATAAGTTAAAATATTGAATGTCTTCACCAATTTCTAATTTCTCTAGGAAAAAAACCTACTATATTGGCCCTTGAAAACATCTACAACCAACCATCCCACATGGCAAATCACCCTCACACTCCCCAAATGCCCATTGAGTAAGTGGGCAGCAACCTGCCTCCTACAGCTCTTAATGCAGAACAGCTAATCCATAGGTGATTAATCTCAAGGAGCCTTTTTCTCTCCCTCTGAATCAATGGCCTTCCTTGGGAAGCTTCACACTCCCCACAGCAGAGGGAAGCTGGGAATAATTTCCTGCACTGCTGTGTCTAAGTCCTGCCCCAGCAGAGCAGTGTCACCCAGACACACAGAGCTTCAGGCTGCCATTCTGGCACTTAAGGCTTCCTGCCTCTTTTGCAAGTGTTGTCTCTCTGAGACAATCCTCTGGCTTAAATGAGAGACACCACCACCAACATCAAGGAGATTGGTTTAGTTAAATTAGTTTAGTTTAGCCTAATATTTACTTAAAACTGAGAATTTGCAACTGGAAGTAAAACATCTGAAAACGTAATTCTCAACCAGATCTAGAGGACAACACTGTTATCAATGGAAAATGCCAATAACTGTTGTCAGGACTGCAAGACAGCTTATTGCAGTTTAAGGTCAGCATTAAAAAAAGGTTATTCTGGAATTAATTTATCTTTGCAGCCCTAAAATTGTCTGGTTTGCAGTACTCTGCACAGAATTTCTGGATCTTCTTTGCACTTACCCCCACCAATCACTGATTGTTCTGTTCACTTCCATTCCATCTTCCTGCTCCAACTCCACTCTCTTCTCCCCTCTCTTCCCTAGGAAGCAAAAGAGGATCCAAACTGCATACTTGAAGTTCACTGATACTCCCCAGTGAAAAGCAATGGTAAACAAATATAACTGGGTGTGATAGCAGAGGAAAACATGTTCTAAATTGGAAAGAAACTTGCAACTTATAAGGCTAGGAATTATTTTTTATCTAGGTAGAGAGGCACAGCTGATGGAAAAAACTAGTAAGCTTTGTGACCCACAAGCATCTCCTCAGACATCCAACAGGGATAAAGAAGCAGCTGCATTTTTCATATAAAACTTCATAGATTAGAAATTTAAATGTGTCCTTGAGCACAGGATACACTGGTTTCTCCCATGACTGCACTTGTTAAGGCACACTGGCCAACATGATGCCCCACAATTAACCCTATTCACCATCTTTTAAGGAGGAAAATTCCCTTGAGGTCATGCCTAAGGCAAAGTTCCTCAGAATTTTGCTACATGCTCATTAGGGTTCCTAGAAATGTTTCATGTCCTTGTACCTGCCCCACAGGTACAAACCGCACCCAGAGATGGTCGAGCAGACACGCTCACCTCGCCCTTTTGCTTTGGGTGTCCCTAAATTACACTGCTGCTGCTTGAAGAGGACTGCAAACCTGTGTTCCAGCAGCAGGATGCCACACACGGTGTGTGCCACCTCCTTGCAGTCTGCCAGGCATAATCAGTCCCTGGTTTTAAGGCACAGATACAAGTCAGCTCACAGGGCACACTACCTGCTGGTGCTCCTGCTGCCCCAAGCTTTAGCTGCAGTCCTGCTGCTGGAAGCCAATCCTCCCATCTCTGCTTGTGCAGCTCCATGTGAAGCTATATCTTAGGCACTGATGAAGGCTGTCTCAACTCACATGACTGCTTTCACACTGCAATCTGTAAGAGATTGTTCCCAACAGCTGTGCAGCCAATGCTAATGGATGGAAGATGCAACTTTTAAACCAGCACAGAGAGATCTAGCACAGTGTGTTTGCAAACAACTGAAAGCTGGGCATGTCAGCACAACACAAAGCTGCCTGCCCAACTGTGGGTTGAGTTTTGTGACCAAAATTCACACTTTCAGCTCTGCAGCAGATTTCGAGCTCTGATCTCATTTATTCTGGGATTAATTAGGAGTAACATCTCCTGTAGGCACTGCTTTCATAGGTTAAAGCTAGTATAAAGCAAGGAGAGTCAGGACCAAGGAATCAATCAGGCTGTGTCTTGTGAGCACAAGGACTTAGCAGCAGCTTCTACTCACTGTGAGTTTGCTTATTAACAAAAACAGGTCTTACCACCAGCATCAGGGATGTCAGAGGGCAGGTTCACTTCCTGGAATGCAATCAGCATTTCCTGGGTTCAAGTTGCTCAAAGGCCAAAAACAGCTGCATTTCGAGTGAGCTTCTACTCTCTGCTATTGAAAACTGTCTGGTTTTCCATTCACTGCAAAGTAAGATCGGACACAAGCTTTTCACAAAAAACAAAGTTTATTCTTCTTTAGTTATTGAGGGGACGTTTGAAGAGAAGGACACAGGGAATGGCACTGCAAATACTGTCACCAAAACCAGCAGGAAGTGAGGTGAATTTATTCTCCCAAATGTCTGACTTCACATCCTTATAGGAAAAAAACCCCAAAATCTACCCCTCATAAAACCCAAAGAAACAACAATACCAATTAAAAAAAAAACAAAGCTTCACCGTTGCTTTGAAAACTGTGGTTTGCAGTTCTACCAGAAGTTCCTCATGCACAGAAAAACCTGTGCAAGGTAAAAGGGTGAAAGCTGGCAGTGAGAGACTGTCGAGCTTGTAGTTCTTGGTTTTATATCAGCCTCCCATGTAAATGGGTTTTTCTACTTCTGATCAAGCTCCAAAATTTCACAAACTATTCTGAAGACTTCCAGCAACTGAGGTTAATTAACCACAGCTGCTTACTATTTTTGAAGGCTGTTGCCTCTTGCTTTGGAAACAATGTCAGTTATACCAGGAGTCAAAGAATTTTCAAAACCACACAATATGAGACCTTCCTGTGTTGTTTAGTATGAAATTGCACGGGACAAATGGAGACCATGACACAAAGTGGTATAGTTTCTGGGAGTAGTTTCAGCCAGTTTCACCAATAATATTTTTACTATTATTTCTCACATTAATAACAGAAAATAAGACTTTGCCTAAGCAGGCAAACAAGCTACAGGTTTACTTTTAATATGATAACCACAACAAAGGATATCTTTGTGTGGAGACTTGTTAAAAAGTTATTAACAAGCAGACAGCATTATCCTGATAAATTTATTGAAAGTGGAACAGAGAAGGACACTTGAGTCAGGAATACTGACCCCCCCAAAGCACAGCACCAAACAAACAAATAAAAAACCTGTATAAAATACATCACTTTGGTTAAGATTATTTTGGGGATCAGTTAGTAACTTTTAAGGTTAAATAAAAAATGTATGCATATTTACAAAAAGACATGACAAAGTTTTTTACACCTTGAATATTTTTTTAAATAAATTACAAATATTTACAGAGAGAAGTAGATGAAAAGGTTCTACCAAAAGTGACTTTTGAATGTTTTTACAGTGCACAGTATACAAGCTATACACTCATGCACTGCAAACTGAATGTGGGAGTGGAAAGGGCAAAAGTCAAAACAAGGGGAAAGCTGAATGTTACCAGTGTCTTCTGATCTTTGGTTACTAGTGTCAAACCTTCATGATTCTTCACACATGCCATGTTCAAAATGAACTAAACTGGCTTTCAACTTTCATAAACAGTCAGCATGTAAACATAATGAAAAGCACTCCATAGTTTGATGTTCTGAAAGCATTAATGCATGGTGGTTTTCTTTTTGATTATTTTTAAATTTCATTATATACACTACCTCAGTTTTCAAGTTTTTGTTCTAGTCTCAAGCAACTTAAAAACATACTATTATTTCCTAGGAATGAGTAGAAGTGAGATGACATTCTTCAAAAAATATGAAGAGCAAAGGCTTAAAAAGTCCTAAAAGTTCAAAAAATATAAAAAGCTTTAGAAAAAGACCAAATCTGCTGTTAATAACAGCTTTGTTACAGTGCAAAAACAAGCTGAAATGTAGTTTTATCCCAGAATGAACCACTGTCAGGAGATGATCCATTTGCCAGGCATCTGGCAAATCTAGGACATAGCTTTGTCTAGAACCAAGACTAGAAAATGCAAACTTCCACCATGTGGGCCTGCTGAAGGATGAAGTTTTTTTTTTTTTCTGACTGTAAAAAGGTATTGATAAAAAAGTGAAAGCTGATCAGTTTTTGACTTGTTCACATTCATGCAAATATATAAAACTTTGTAAATCTCTAAATATTAACGACAAAGAGGCTTTAGTGTGTTAGTAAAAAAAAAAACCCCATATACAAAAAAAACATATACAAAACAATTTAAAAGATTTTGTACATGGTTTGGCCTATTTGTCTTCACATAGTAACACTAGAAAAGAAGGCTGTTTTTCCTGAGGAAAGAAAAATAGGCACTGGAAACAGTTCAGCCTGTCTTCAAAGGGCTTCTTGATGAAGGTCTGACAACTTCATTGCTTGTGGAAGAGAAAAGGTAGCACCTCCTTCATCACTGAATTCTACTGCTTCTCTTCCATGTTTGTTTGGGCAACAAAGCAATTATTTCCTTATGCTTTAAGATCTGAAACAAAAGAACCAGAAAAGCACACAGGTAAATTACTATGTCTTTTCTTCTAGAAATTGAACTAGGTACATGAGAATACTGCAGGCTTTAGATACTAATGAGGGTTGTGAAGATGCACCACTGTCACATGATTTGTTAACAATCCAGTCAGAGCAGGTACATGACCAATGGTAGCTGAGAGCCTCTAAACATTTTACCCAAATGTTCTGTTTATGATTAAGCTACATTCCTCTGCAACTGGACCACATTTAGAACATTTATTACTTACAGCCAGCCACCTGCAAAGCAGCTGGTAACCTGTGAAGTTGTTCTGACTCCGTGACTTTGGATCACATAATCAGGCAGTTAAGACACCACTTCCATTCAAATGTTTTATGTCCATGATCTCAATATCAGCTGTGCATCACACATGCTTGTGTTGCTGCTGCTATTTCTTCCACACAATAATGCCAAGTGCTTTTGGAGTTTCCTCTTTTGAGGATTGAAAATACAGCTCTTATTTGACAAGGAGACTGAAGGCCAAGGGAAATTACAGTGCAGGAAGTTCAAAACTAACTTACCACATGAAACATGCATCAGGCTCTAACCAGGCTGCTTTCCAACAAAGCACCCACCAGCCCACTTACATCACTGTTTCCACCTTGTTACACACATAGCAACTCTGGGGAGCCACCTGGACGTGCCAGGACACATCCTTTGGTCTTTGCTCCCATTTTGATAGCACTACCTGTCCCTTCCACTAATCTCTAGCTCAGCATCACTCCAGGATAAGATGTCAGGAGACAGTGTAGGAGGACAGAGGATGGTGACATATGGTACACAACTCTGTAGATGATGACAAAAAGAAAGCTGTCCCTAGTCTGGTTCTCACAAGGTACCTGGATAGACTTGAAGTATTTTTATGATCTGTGTGTTTAAAATCCAAGCAGATTTACTGCTTTACCTTAGTGATGATACTGAAGAACACAACCAAAAAGCCAGTTGTGTGTGTGTGTGCTATTTCCTTGTGCAGTGAGAGAGTCTGAATATGAAATAGAGTTCTGTCACTTTACAACTTCAAGGATAAGCATCAGGTTTCATACGCACTCCCTATCCCCAGAACACACAAAATGCTCTTGTTCTCACGCGGTTTGCAAACAGAACCGAAGCAAGCACAGCTGCATCTGGTGCCTCAGCATGACATAACAGAGCAGTTCCAGATGCTAAACCTTTAAGGGTGACTCAGGAGCACAGTTGTTTAGCCCAGCAAAGCAGCATGTCACATGGACCAGGAATAATATACTGGGTTGCTTCATTTGGCTTTCAGTATTACTCACTGTCAGCTAACAGGATCTTAGTTATTACAACACACCACACCTTCCTCTGCAGCTATGCAGACTGTTCCAAGTCCATTTCCTGGTTTCATGACAAGTTCATCAGCAGTTTTGTCTGCATCACAGAGTCAGGTTTTTTACACTCAGTCCTAACTCTCTCCCAGCCTCCCATTCATCCATGTTTTCTTACATTCAGAGATTTTTTTCACCCTTCTTTTCAACATTGTCTTCAGTAAATACCAGAATTTATAGATGTGATTGCTTGGCTGGCAATTCAACAGAAGTATCTAACTTGGCAGAACAAAAAACCCTGCAGCAGTAAGGTGCCACTTGCTTTCACACTGCCGTGCATTTTGAGAATGTTTAAATGGATTACCTGCACCAGCAGACTCCAAAGTGGGTGTGCACAGGGCAATCCATTGTGGGGCAGGAAAAAAGTATTTTTGCACCAGTAATAAAATTTTAAAAATATAAGTACTATTTATTTCATCATTATAATTCTTAAACTTTTATTTTGTGCACATTTTATAATGTATGTCACACTTTAGTATGGTAATAATTGTATATAACCTATAAATACATAAATTGGGTGTGCATGTTCAAAGTATTTTACTAATTTGGTAGACAATCACAAAAGAATTGGTGACCACTCACCTACAATACAAAAATCAGAAATTAGTATAAGAGGGCCACGGTTACACCACTCAAGTAAGCACTGTACAGCAGACAAAATGACATTTTTCTTTTTTTTTTTCAAGAAAGGAAAATTATTCACAGTCAACCTCAGTGTCAGTGAGCAGACTCTCCCAAAACAGAGAGCTTCACCCCCACATACCTCCTTTAGTGCAGCTGGGTGAGTTGTCTGGGTGCCCCCCATTTTCACCTTCTGCATCCTGGGGCACTTCTGCAAGGACAAAATCAACACTCAGACAATCCTGGACCTCACAGCACTATGCCTCTCTGCCCCAGTTGGATCAAGAACAATATGATTGGAATTTGGACCATTTGTTTGGCAACAATAGTAACCCTGACCAGCATGCCTCACTCCCATGGGATCACCATCCAACACCTCCATTCTCTCCTCCATTCCTGATCTGCACTGTCATCACAATCCCTCACCCACCCTGTCAAGGCCAAGCAGAGGAAATGCTCAGTGCCTGTGGTGCCACCCATTAGGTGGCATGAGGCAAAAGTCACACTGAACAAAGACTGCTCCATAGTCCAGGCACTACCTCTTTCATTCATATCATGGCCATCTACATGGTTACTCTGTGCATACACAATATAAAAAGGCTCCTGGAGAGGGCCATGAGGATGGTGAAGGGCCCATGAGGATGGTGAAGGGTCTGGAGAGGAAGCCTTATGAGGACTGACTGAGGTCACTTGGTCTCTTCAGCCTGGAGGACAATGAAGAGAAACCTCACCACAGTCTAGAACTTCCTCATGTGGGGAAGAGGAGAGACAGGTACAATCTCCTCACTCTCATGACCAGTGACAAGACTCAAGGAAACAGCATGAAGCTGAGTCAGGGGAAGTTTAGGCCAGATATCAAGAAAGGGTTTCTCACCCAGAGGGTGCCTGGGAACTGGAACAGGCTCCCCAGGGAAGTGGTCACAGCACCCAGCCTGACAGAGTTCAAGAAGCGTTTGAAAAACACTCTCAGGGATATGGTGTGATTTTTGGGGTGTCATTGGCAGGGCAGGAGCTGGAGTCAATCCTGATGGGTCCCTTCCAACTCACCAGACTCTAGGATTCTAGGAAGGGATCACGGCCAGTTTGCCTGCTGGGCCAGTAGTACTCACTGCTCCACAGAACAGGCACTTACCTTCCTGATTTACATCATTCTCAACTATCAGCTTGTCTTTCAGGCCCTCGTCATTCCCATCCAATGCTCTGTCTGAAGAGATCAGAGAACAAAAAGAGGTCAGGGAACTGCAGTCCCTCAGGAGCACAGGCCATGGCTTCTGCCCCTCCCCAGCACAGGCCTCACCTTTCCTCTGCACCTTCAGTACTGCTGTGCTGTCAGCAAAAGCCCTGCTTGAAATGGCTTTGTTCAGAGGACATCATAGCCTTGCCTGCTATTTCCCACCCCTGGAGCAGTGACTGCCTGCTCCCCAGGTGCTGCTGGCTGCATGCACAGAGGTGCACTGACTCCCCTGCCTGATGTTCCCATTCTATCCACAACAAAATAAAGCATTTTATTTTCTGCATCTCGTGTCCAAACGGACAACCTTTATCTACGGATCTGATTTCTCTTGCCTGAACTGTGTGTTTCTCTCCTTTCTACTTTAACTCAGGTGTAAAATAAACCTCCTTTTCCTATACCCATGTCTATGTATATGGAAACAGTTACACCAGTGATAACACAATCCTGCAGGCACCATAACCACCATCAACTACACAATCCCTGTTTCTCCAGATGAAAGAAAGCTGTTCCATACCCACTACAATATATGCAGGAAGAATAAACAGCAAATCCCAAGGACTTCTGAATTTTTTTGAGTTTCTTTTTCCTTATTGTCATCATTGGTGATTATTTTTCCTTTATAGGAAATACTTCTGCTTTCTCCAACCCCTTATTATCAGCCAATTGTGGAAATGGTGGAAGAGTTAATGAGTGAACGAATTGCTAGTGCAAAAGACTGGGGAAAAAACTGACATTTTTTCTCAAGTTGAACAATAATGTTCAATTTCAGTAGCCCTTTGGCATTAAAAGAACTTCTAGAAAAAATACAGGTCCCAGAACTTCCTTGAAATTTACAGCGATTGGATTACGAAAACAAAACTGGGGCTTTGCTTAATTGCCTGATGAATGCAGTCAAAAGACTTTCCTAAAGCATAAAGCAAGAGGAAGATACAGTAGCAGGCTTTGTTCCTTAGAGAACCACATTTCTGGATGAAGTATCTCCCAAATATGAATTTTGCAAGCTGCTAAGCATCCCATCTCTAGATTGGTGTGCTGAGGCTCTTATCTTTCCTCCATGCTTAGTTCTTCTCCCCACAGATGGCAAAAGCAGCATCATTCTCATCATATCAAGAGGGAAGGTGAAGCCCCAAGAAGGTGTTTGCTCTGTGCTGTTTACCAAACCCAGCCTCCAGGTCCTTCTTGTTTCTCCTCCACTGATCTACCCTTCAACATTTACTGTTCCTAAGGCAACAGGTTCTTCTAGGCCAACAGGGGAATGGAAAACTCTGGCACAATAGTCTGCAAAATATGCAACTCAGCCCTAAAGTGACAACTTCATTATAACGCTTTTTAAAGACATTCCTGAGAACCACTGTGTTATGCCACTTTAAGGACTCACAATTAATTTCAAATTCACCTTCCTTCCAGCAACCACTTAAGGTCCCAGACTATGACCAACATTGTTTATATTTGTGCCTACAACTTTACAAAAGTCTTGTCCATGTAGATTTATTGGTAAAGCTGCACAGATCTGCCAAAAAGAGCCAGAGGTAGCTGAGAATCAGCACCTACTTTTTTTTACTTCATCTCTGTTGCACTAACACTGTAACTTTAAACCCTTGTTCTTTGCAGACCTTAAAGAATCTTTAATAGAAACATTATAAAACAAAATAGAAACATTATAAAACAAATTAAAGTGCAGTACCAAAATCAGGTTTTTTGGGGGGTTTACTGGGGTTTTTTTCCTACCCATCCTCCTCATTTCCTCACTTTCAGATTCATCCACAGTCTTGACCTCAGCGGGCTCTGAACCATGGGCTAGAACCACAGCTTTAGCAAATGTAAGGTACCAGACTGGACACCCACATGAAGGCACTGTGAGCTCAACACCAGAACAGCCCAAGAGGGCACTGAGCCTGCACCTGATGGCAGGAGCTCTGGCCATTCCCCACTGAAACATTGCTTGGGCTGGGAACAGAACATTTCTTAAGAATCTTCCCCTGGTTTCCCTCGTCTGCTTGACTGTCTTGGGGGTTAATTTTGTTCGGTTCCTAAAACAGACCACAGTCCTGGCAGCAAGCTAGAATACGATAGCCCAATTCACTCCTAAGAAAGGAGCACAGACTAAAGGAGTTGTCCCCTTCCCTAGCTGCTCACTGTATAAAGTGATTTCCACACCCCAACACACAAGAAGCCAGAAAACAGCACGGTCTTGCTGCAAATTAAGGAAGTAAAAAAAAAAAAAAAAAACCAAAACACCACAATAAACCACTAAGAAAAAAAAAACAAAACAAAAATTCACAACCAACCAACCAAAAATCCTCCTAATAAAAAAAAAACCAAACAACTCAATGCAGATTAGAATTGACAACAGAAGCTCAGGCAAAGATCTGGACAGGAAGAGAGGAATGACAGATTGCCCTACAGGGTGCACTTTTCCAGCCCTCAATCTGAGGCCAGCCCCAATTCTCCATTTTTAGAAAGGTAATTCACCTCCAAAGACAGCTGCTGACCAGGAAAATGTCAGGCCATTCACTGTCAGTAACTTTGCCAGCCCCACTAACACATTCACTAGGTGCAGGTACCTATAATCATCCAATACTGCACCTCAAGTGAGATTTTGACTCTGCATGTGCCCAGTTTGAAAACTAATTCAAAAGCTCAGACCCTGCAAAAAAGGCCACAGCAAATCAGACTCCCTGCTCCAACCAAGAGCAGGTGTTTAGAAACATTAATACCCCAATAGAGGTTTCTTACCTCTCTCTGAGTTAGATTGTTGTTGGCTGTTCCCAGGGTAAAGTTGCTCATGCTCTCCTATAAAGAAATTTATTTGTTTTAGAAAGTATGTATTAATGACCTGGAAACAAAATAACTACACTCAAAGAAAACTTACTCCTTTACCTCTCCAATGAAAGACTACACTGACACAATACAAACTGACAAGCCCAGACCAAGCACCAGTCTGATTTCCACACATTTGTGACACTATCTTACCTGAGCCATTCACTGGACTATTATTCAGAGCAGTCTTTCTCCCACATTTAATTACACCTGCACACAAATAGAATATTTGGAGAAATTACAAAGTTTTGCCCCTTTGGAAGCTTGCTTACAGCCTCCATTCATTCCATACCCCTCTCCAGCCCCCGAATCAAAAAATAATACATTTCACTGAAAACATGAAACTGAATACTGGACTTGGAGGAAGAACATAAATGAAATAATGTTTTGAGGGAAAGACAGTCAGTGAGAGATCAACAGAATGGGTCTCCTGTCACAGCAAGTCAGAACACATCTAATCAAATCTAAGGTGGAGCTTAACAATTTCTGATTATATATCTTGTACTTAAAACAGCAAACTTCTGCTGTTTGATTATACCTTGTATAAGCAATGCTTATCCTACCAAGGTGTAACAGGTTTATTTTCTTGCATGTTCAAGCCCTTATTGTTTCAAGGGAATTAACTGAATTGTTTTGATTCTAACTGATGGTCAGTTTTAAGTGATATTCTTTGTGTGTTAACACCAAGAGCAGTTTGTTTAACACCACCAACATGAATAAGGACACAGAAGTCACTTTCAGAAAGCTTGCAGATGACATCAAACCGGGGAGAGCAGGGGACATGCTGGAAAGCAGGCTTGACACTCAAACTGACTTCAACAACCTGGAGAAACATGCTGGCAGAAAAGGTGTGCTATTCAAAGGCAAACAAAGACCTGAATCTCTTAAGTCAGCCCATGGACCACCAGGGGCTGGGCTCTGCCTGGCTAGGAAACAGCTCTGCAGGAAATGACCTGAAAGCATGAACAAGCTCAACATTACACAGAAAAATGTGCCCTTGCAGTAGAAGGCTTCCAAATGCTGGGCTGTGTTAGCAGAAGCACAGTCAGCCCATCAACACAAATAATTCCTCCTCTCTATTCGATATTTGGGACACCACATGTGGAGTACTCTCTCTAGTTTTATCTCCCAATTAATGCAAAACCACCATGTTTCTAAGTTAGTCCAGCAAATGTCCACCAAGATGTCTAGGGTTAGCACCTGTGCAAGGAGGTGCTGAGAGAATTGGGTTTGTTCAGCCTCAAGAACAAGGAAAACAGGATGATGGCTCACTGCAGTCTACAACTAACTACAGAAAACAAAGGAAACCTCTCTCAGAAAAAAACAGGAGGCAATGGCTACCAGTTGCCAAAGGGCAATCCCTAACAGAAATAAGGACAATATCCTTCCCTACAAGAGTGATTCAGCACTTCAACACGTGCTGAAAGAGGCTGGGGAAATTCCCACCCTGGGAACTATTCAAAGTTTGACTGGACAAGGCCTTAAGCAACTTGATCTAGCTTTGAAGTTGATCATCCTTTGAGCAGGAAGTTGGATGAAACTTCCAGAGATATCTTCTCACCTAGTTTATTTCATGATTCTAGGCCAACAGAAACTCAATGGACGATAAACAGGAAAACAAAAGGTTCACATGCAATATATATCTATTTATGTCCTGATCAGAATATCATCAATTAGTCCTTCCCAGATGGGAGATGCCTCCAGTACTCTTCACCCTGCAGCTACCTCCAAGTGGTGGCCCCATCTGGAAGTCAACTTGAATCTTCCATGCAAAGCAGCATAGGATGAAGAAATATATTCCTGTTTGGGACTCTCTCCAATACAAGGAGAAAATATGGTGTGCCCCTCTTTTTGAAGTCAGAAGACAACACAGAAATCCAAAAACGTGGCAGAAAAAGATACAGAGTGATGGCCTATAATTATTATTTCTGATTAAATGGTCAGATTTACAACAAAGATACTTGAACTCCGTGTAGGGATGGATCAAAAAACAAATACAGAACTCCAATATGATGGCAACACAAGCTGTCAGGAGGCACAGAAGGTCCCATTTATCAGTTGACCACATTGAGTTGTCAGATTGGACCCAACATATGATATTCAGATCTGGTACAAGCCTGTCCCAACAGTAAATGGGATCTTGAAGGCAGCTTTATAATGCTCTTAAAAATAAGGCTGGGAAAACACACTCAGGTAAGAACAGGAGAGGCTACACACACTTGGTAAGTAGAAACACACTGCAAATCAAACACCCAGTCTGAAGGAGAACTATGCAAATGCTAACTGCAGTGTTTCCTAGGACTCAGAGCCCAGTGTCAGAATGCAAGAAAGTCCAGTACATTATTTCCTTCAAATCTATTCATTTGTGCCTAAGTTGGATTTGTTTCTTCTACTGATTTTACAAAACACTTGCTGGTCAGAAATTTTCAGGCATTCTACAGAACCTTAGATGAGTATAATCTGGAAGCACATAAAGCTCAGTTAGGAAGTGTTATGCATACCTTTCCTGCGCAGGAGTTCTAGGATTACCATTGGGACAATAAATGCAATAAGGAGGTAAAGAATAGTTCTATGTCGTTTGTGAGAACTGTGTCCTTTAAAAAATTAAAAAAAAAAAAAAGAAATCATACTGGTTAGTTAGAAAGTAACTGTATGATACACTAGTTCAGTAGAGCTACAACCCTAAATATGTTTTATAGCTATTTTTTAAAAAGTAACCTCAATAAATTAATGCACCAGAGTCAGTTATTAGCAAAACCCTGAGCCATCTCCAGGACAGTTACATGTAAAGTACCTCATTTCAGTGAAGGCACATTACCCCTTGAAACGCAATGGCTATTCCTATGAAAGGCTGTGCCAGATTTCAAACAAATAAAATTTCAGCAAATATCTTGTATTGGGTTTTCACTGCAAGGTTTTGTTGGTTTCTGTGAGAAGATGCCAGAAGCTGTCCCCATGTCAGATAGCACTAATGCCAAGCTGGATGTGCTGCTGGCCAAGGCAGAGCCTATCAGAGACTGTGGCAGTGTCTCTGGGATAACACTTCTAAGAAAAGGGAAAAACTGCTGGACAACAACAGCAAGGGGGAGAGGGGAGTGGCAATATGTGAGGGAATCTGCCCAACAGACAGACAACCAAGGTCAGTACAGAAGGAGATGCGGGTGCTGGAGCAGGGGTTCCCCTGCAGCCCATGGAGGTTCCCACATCAGAACAGGTGGTGCCCAAAGAAAGCTGTGACCTCATGGGAAGCCCACGCTGGAGCAGCCTCCTGGCAGGACCTGTGACCCCTTGGAGAGAGGAGCCCACGCTGGAGCAGCTTTGCTGGCAGGGCTTGTGACTCTGTGGGGAAGCCACACTGGGGCAGTTCATGAAGAACTGTGGGAAAGACTCATGTTGGAGAAGTTAATGGAGACTGCCTCCTGTGAGAGGGAGCCCACACTGGTTCAGAGGGAGTGTGAGGAGGCCTGCCCCTGAGGAGGAAGGGCAATGTATAATGAGCTGACTCAGGCCCCATTCCCCATCCCCCTGTGCTGCTCAGGGAGACCTGCTCAGGTAACAATATTGGGAGTGAAGTTGAGGTTGGGAAGAAAGGAGGGGTTTCAGGGAGGTGTTTTAGATTTGCTCTTGTTTCTCATTATCCTATTCTGATTTTGACTGGCAATAAATTAAACTCATTTTCCCAAAGTTGAGTCTTTTTGCCTGTGACAGTAATGGCCAAATGACCTCTCTCTGTCCTTGCCTCAACCTATGAGGCTTTTATCACATTTTCTCCTTCCTGCCCCACAGAGGAGGGGGAGTGACAGATTAGCCTGAAAGGCACCTGGCAGCCAGCCAGGTCAACCTACCACATGCTTCACATCTGACAAGTTGCTCCAGTAAAGGAAGAATTCTGTACTAGTAAACCATGACAACTACTTTTGTACAGAAATGAGAATTTTTGTCATTACGGACTGCCTTAAGCACCCTACAAACCAGACGGTTCCAAGCATATTCTCACTCTGTGCTTAAAGAAACCCTAAAAATTCAAGCCCCAAGCTGAAGGCTGTGCCAAAGCAATAAGCAACAGGAGGAAAATTCTCTTTTCTATCTTATACCTCTCCATGAAGGAGGAAGAAACTATGCTCATTGACTCACACACATGCTAGATGAGAAAATATTTTATCTTACTTTATTTATTATTTTATCTTATGGCCGCTAGATGACTCACTTGAAATGGCTGAATAGTTTCACTCCAATTCATGGAGAGCAGTACAAAGAGGACAAGCTCCTAGCATTAATTACATAAGACCAGAAGGTTCAGAAGAGATCTTCTAAGACTTTCTAATCTTTATTATTACTCAAATCAAGTCACAGCTAAAGGTTTTATTCTGCAGAGATCCCTGCAAAACGTATATTTCCAGGGGCATCAACCAGTCATCCTCATACTTTTCACAAATTTTATACACACTTTTAGCCAACAAATCACTTCTGGTGCATTTTACTCTTGAAATTCAACTTCCTGGGAAGTCAGGAGAAACCTTACAAAGGCCATGCTGCTTCCCAAACAAACCCCTCAGACCTATGTTTGCAACATGACACATTTATTACCTTTTTCTTCTGGAAGGCATTGAATCAAAGAGATTTCAGAGCTCCTTTCTGTTTGTGAATATTTAATGATACATGTAGCATTGGAGGTAATATCAACATTCTTCAAAGGGACAGAAAGCTCCTGGTTCCGATATCTGTGTGGATTGTTACTGAGCTTCCAAGTGTAATTCAGAGATGCCTGAAAATTTGCTGTACAGTTTAATACAAGTTCATCATCACTGGTGCTGCAATTTATTTCAGGTTTTGGAAGAGAATCTAGAAGGAGAGAAAGCATTCTATATTACTTTAGTTTCTAAATTCCTTTTACTAGTTTCTAAAACATTCTAATTACTTTAGTTATTACTTTATAAACTATATAGAATTTCAGCACAGGACAAGGGCTGGAGCAACAAAAGCAGCAGGAGAGTGCATAGACAAAAGTGTGGGGGTATGTGCACATATGCCTGAGAAATGTGTTTCTGAAAGTGACCTGTAAACCTCCTGTTTGTGGCTCTCCCATTCCTAATCCAAGAGTCCTCGTGGTTCACCATCCACAGGGCTAACAGACACACTGGTCACACACATTTCCCAAAGACTACAAGTGAGGCTGAGTAGATCTGCACAGGATGATGCCACAGGTGTTCAGGCATGCGGAATATGCCTGCAGGAATAGCTTTAATAGATACATAATGCCTGGGATTACCTGGTCAGCTTGCTCAAAAAGTTTCATTGTCTACCTGAAAGTGCAGTGTGCCATCCACACACGTTCTAGAAGTCATCCCAAGGTGAGTAATGATGGGCACACAAATGAGATGCCACCTTTGAAAACTTGTTCAAAGTGGCTAAGCCATTTAAAAATAGAGACAAAGAACAGCCCCCTCTGTTTCTGTTTGCTTCCTTAACAAATAAACAATGCCCTTTCTAGACATTTTAAAGTGAATAATGCTTCACAATATTTATGCAGTTCTTCCAGTACTTACCTAACACAACAAGTTCGAAGTTTAAGCTGTGTTCTTCAGAATCTACAGAATCCCAGTACACTAACTCATATGTGCCAGTGTCATCCTTCTCCAAGTTCACTATGGTCAAGGATCCATTCTCCATAAGTACACTCCTGCCGCGAAGAGGACTATAATATGTCAGTTTGTTTTGATCCTCCCATTCAGCCACTTTATGCTTGTTTTTCTTCCAGACAATGTCCACTGTTTTTTGGTCTATTTGTACTGGAAAAGTAAAATTTTCTCCCATGATGCCAATTATTTCTTTTTGGTAGCCATGTGCTATAGGGGGGGGGAAAGGAGAAAAAGTTACTTCAACAATTGTTTTATAAAACACTGCTTGACTAATGCCCTATTCAATATCAGATACATTCAAATTTAGGTTAGAAGCACATCACAAAGTTGCAAACTAAGGTACACATCAGGTAAGAATTACCCAAACCCAGGCTGACAGCACAATTGTATGACAAGCATGGCAAAGGAATCCAGTTTCCACATTCTGGTCCCAGGCAGAACAATTGCCCCAATGATCTTCCCTATCCTAAGCCCTTCTATCTTCAGTACTTTCCCTCTGTTCACTTGAATTAGGCTTCCTGCCCATGATCTGGTGAAAAATATTGAATGAAGAATTGTCACCACCAAAATCTCTTTGAGGATCTTGTTGCAGAACACCCACACTGAAGTTCCTGCTGATCAAATAAACTGTAATTTTTCCAGTATGAAAATATTCACAGTCAGTAAAAAGCACACTTCTGACGCAAAACTGTTACTGAGTTCAAAGCACCTGCTCTGAAGTCATGGGGGTATTAGGGATTTCCCTTGAAATGTCACTTAAGCAAGTTTATTTCACAGCCAGTATGTGTGAAACAGCATCCCATCCTCTGAGATCTTGCAGAGCTGTCAGCAATAATGAAGCTGTTCAGAAACCTCCACTGCTCTCAGCTTCTGAGAATCAATTACATTCTGCTAAAACGCCCAGGCATTCAATATAAATAAATAAACCACAACAGAAGAGAGAGAAGAGATTTTTCCTTAATTTTCATTGAAAACAGCTACATTTACAAAGAGAAAAAAAAACCTCTCACACTGATGTAACAGACAAAACCCTGCTGTGGGGAAAGGACCACAACCTTAAAACCAACAGAATCTCTGTGTCTCTGCTTCAGTCTTCAGCCATCACCTCCCACTTCTAAATAGCTCCAAATGGCTCTAGAACAACTGCAAGATCACTGCCATGGCAGACAGGAACATAGACAAAAACACTCTGGTATTGAGTTCTAGTTACACTTGCATTTAGGAATCGATTTTGGTCCACAGTAACTGGTAAATTTTTACTTCTATGTTGAAGGAAGGGCATGGTTAAGCTGCAAATGAGGTCTCACATTAAGGCAGGATTCCCAATCTGCAGCATGTAAAACTTCCCTTTAAATAGTTGCTATACATGGTGAAACAAATATTTCAGATGTCTACTCCTCAAGCCAACTGGTTCCCAGTGACAGCTAGTATTCTGGGTTTTATCTTGCTAGGCCTTCCTTTCCCACTGGCAAAGGACAGGGCCCATCAGCTCTTCTGCCACCCCATAGAAACACAGGCTTTCTCTGACAGCACAATGAGCACAAGCAATGCAAACACATTTCTGTGTGCTTGGCTAGAGAACTGCATACACGTCTCCTCCATGCCTTACTTTCTGTGGAATATCCAATTTGTTTGCAATTTACCCATGGAAGCACTCTTCTCACACCACTGGAGTTTGCAACTTCTTCTTGTCTGCACCTACACCTTTTCCAGGCACAAGGATTGTAGAAGTAATCAGGGTAAAGCTATCAACACCCACATCTTGTCAACACTATCTATCTGCTTTCTTTGTATTCTCCCCTGTTCAGGTGGATTTAAACCTTTTACTCGAACATCTCTTTCCACCTATTTCAATTAATGATTTCCAGAAGAAAAAAGAACTCAGGAACTCCAGACTTTGTGTCTGGAGACCCCAAGATTGCAAGACACTGGGTAGAGTGGAACACTATTTCGATCTGACAAAGCCTGGAGTCTTGTTAGACACCTTTGTCTCATAAACACAAATTCCAGGAGTGCATATTCCTCAAGAAGTCATCCCTCACTGCCTAAGGACCCATGGTATTCCCAGTACGGAGAAATCCTCCCTGCTCTTCCCACTGTGAAATTGTACCTCTAGGTAGCTTTGGCTCACAGACACAACCAGGCTGTGGTGGCTTGATATCAGCATAAGCCAAACCACAGTGGCTGCTGACAAGAGCCTTCAGCAAGGACAGCAGCTGCTTGCTGGGCCCTGAGAACACAAGCAAGGACAGCCACCACTGCTCAGCCAACCACTTAAAACTTCCTACATCTGGGTGCTGATCCAGGTAAACGCTCCATGTCTTCACTCTCTTTCAGTTAGGCGTAAGTGCTAGGCTGGAATTATGAGAGCAAAGTTCTTCCTTCTTCAAGCCCAGGAGTGAAACTGAAGGAAAGTAGAGCTGAAAAAAACCCGTATTTTCTCTGCACAGGTTCTGCATGGCACAGGGGGATGTGCTGTCTTCAGCACACTCTCCTCTTGCTGGCTGGTGGAACAAAGGCTTGGCAGCAAGGAGGTGATGAGCTCCTCCCAAGGGCATTCAGGGCTCCCAGCAGCAGGACAAGGAAAAGGTTATTCCTCAAGGATAACAGTCATCTCCTCCCACCTTAGAACTCCAATCTCTGGGTTTATTTCCGTGTTTCACTGTTCTAGTGAAAATGTGAAGAAGTCTCCCACTCAGTGCCGTCAACTTCCTTTTTTCAAGGAAATCATACAGAAATATTGCATAAGCTCATAACCACACATCTTTGAGCTTCTGGGAAAGTATGTGTCATCATGTTTTCTAAATTCCTGAGAAACCCTTCCCCATCTTTTCTACTTCATTTCATACGGAAACATATTTCCTATTCCACAGTGGTGAGCAAATAGGGAGAAGTGACAACCAAATACTCTCTCACACACTCTTTGGAAGGCTAGAACTGCCTTTTCTTTAATTTCTTTGCCTTCTCTCTCTCTTCTTGCTGTAGCCTATTATTCTGATATAAAGTTCACACAACAAAATAAGTGCTGTGCTAAGGCCTCCAGTAGCCTCTACAGAAACCACCAGACTACCAGCTCCTGTGTCTCCTAAAACCTTCTTCAAATTCCTTCTTATGCCAAATCTTTATGTTCTTTCCTTCCACTCAAATCACATGCTCAAAGTGGCACAGACAAAGAGGAGCTAACATTGTGTGGGCAAAGCCTCTTCTGCAAACCCACCATCTCACCTTTCTACATCATCTTCTGTTCTCACTTCTCCAGCAGCCAGACCCACACATCCCGGTGCTGTACTCGAGTTTTAACACTCCCCAGACTAATTCTGCCTCTTTCAGCATTTTAGCAGGCTGCTAAAATGCTGAAAAATTCAGTTCAGACTAATATTCAGTTCAAACTAAGTAGAACTTGATTCTCCATTTACCAGCAATAAATGCTTCATTACCATATTTGTCTGGTCACCTGGTTTGACTTGCTTCACTATTTTTCTTGGAGCTGACGTAAAGCCTAGTTATTTTGGAGAACATCTGTAAGCTAAGCCCTTTTTATCTTTAATGCTATCATTAATATTTCTGGTCTCAAATACCTATTTGATATGCATATAGGTATATATTAGGTCCATACAGGCAGCAGATAGGTTCTCCTATTACCATTAAGACACTAACATTCCACCTGCTGAAAATGGGTGGAAAAGCCTTTATAAGCAGTTTATTTGCTTCAAGAGTAGAACTTTCTAAAGAGTAAATTTTTCTTTTAATTGTTGTAACTTCCCAACTAACCCCCTCTCTTCAGCTTTTTTAGAATTTTGAAATCCCCCAGCAACTGTAACCACAGACAATTATGCTCCCTCCTAGCCCTGAAAACCACCAGGTGCAGAAAACCCTGAAATAAATGTTCAGTCCAGAAGGACTATGAGAACATTCACCAACCATAGTCCTCTGAATTCCCCTGCAGGCTACAAACACAACCCACTTCCCAAACTCCAGAAAGAAAGCACTTAGAGCCATGATGTAAAAGCACAGACAAAAGCTACAGCCAGGGGAGAGAGAGCACAGATGACCATAAACTGTGGCAGCAGCCCAGGCTGTTGCAAGATAAAATCAGATTTGTGCAGGAATGAATGCTAATCCTACGTGTAACATCCAAATCAGAGGTGTTCTCCTGCACACTGCAGCACGTTCAGAGATGTGTGTGTTGTTCTCCTGGACAAAAGCAGACCTAAGGGTGGCACCTACCAACAGGCCTGGGTCCCTGCCTACCACAAAATCCATACCTTCAGTCATATCCTCAGCAAGGGCCCAACAACAGGCAGCATTCCCATGTAGAGGCTACCCAGTCATTTTTTAACTATGCATGGGCATGACTTACCAATTCCTCCTTCTCCCTTTTTTTGTCTGTCTGTTCCTGCAGTGAAATAGGCATGCAGAGAGCACAATCTGCTGACAGACCATACTTCACACACATCCCCACTCCAACTAAAGAAACAACAAAAATACCCACAGAAGGACTGTAACTCCCAGATGTGGCTCACTGTGGGAACACCAGTGCTCATGCATGGAATGCAGCGGATGTGGTAAAATGTGGAAGAACAAGAGTGAGAGCATAGAGGGGGGGCAGGCACTGATCCCTTCTCTGCAGTGACCAGCGACATAAACCAAGAGAATGGCCTGAAGTTGCGTCAGGGGAGGTTTAGGTGGGATATTAGAAAAAGGCTCTTCACCCAAAGGGTGGTTGGGCACTGGAACAGGCCAGGAGGGAGAGGACTGGGAATCATCACTTTTTGCACTGGTAAACTATTACAAAGGATAATTGAGTCCTGCAGATTATTGATTATTTACAGTCTCTGGGCTTTGCTTAGGGACAGAACTGACTGGCATTTAAGCCTGCCTTGAACTATGAAAAAAGCAGCTGATTGAGAGCAGTCTAGACACTGGACCAGGTTGCCCACAGAATGGATGCCCCATCCCTGGCAGCGTTTAAGGCCAGTCTGGATGGCACTCTGAACAATCTGGTCCAGTGGAAAGTGTCCCTGTCCATGGCAGAGGGTTGGAACTGGATGATCATTAAGGTCTCCTCCAACCCAAACCACTCCATGATTCCAAGTCCTCTGGTCACTTATTGCCAGCATCCAGACAGCAGCACTTCCTGTGCTGTACAAGCACATCTTCATGTAGGCTCTGAAATCAATGGCACTGGGAAAATAATCTGTCTTGGTAACTCTTTCCTTTAATCAGGTTCAGTTTGCAGTTCTACTTATAAAGGATGGCACAAACTGATGCCACAGACAGGAACTGAACAGGCCCAAAAGCTCCCCTGAGGCTGAAAACAGATAGGAGGACTAGTAAGGAAAAAACAAAAGAAAAAAAACCAGAAAAACCCCAAAAATAAACAAAGCTGCACCCATTTTTATGAATACCTTTAACATACCCAGGATCAAAGGAGTCAGCGTATGCAATCCAGAGATGATCCTCACTTTCTAAAGTCTAAGACCATTAATTGCATTAAGGCAAGAAACTATCTGAAAAAATTTTCACTCTGTTCATCCTGTAGTGTTGAATAGCAATGGCAAAAATATTGTTTCATTTTGGTTTAAATATGACATAACAACCTCAGCTCTTGTTAAGAGTTTTTAAGCAGAGAGCAAAGGTTTAGTTTGACTTTTTTCCCCTCTATGTGTGGAATTTATAACTGATTTTAATTCCTCTGTTTGTTCAGGAAGATTCAAGGGTAAGGGGACAGAACAACACAAGTAGGTGTCAGCTTCGCAGTGCTGATAATGATTTTTCCATTTATACTATTTAATACTGTGTTTAACATTTCTATTAGCAACACGCAAAATAACCACATTCCACAAACAACCTGAATTTGTTAGGAGTCCAGATTTTCCCACAAATGACACCTCTCATGGAGTGGAGAGACACAGAAGAAACATGGAGCAACCCTAGTGTTTTTCTGATTTTTAAAAATTTACAAAGGAAGATATATTTGTGTGTACAGAGAAAAAAAAAAAAAAGACAGGAAATTTAAAAATAGTAATAAACAAAGCAAGCCCAAACTTGTTGAACTGCCTAATGACACAGACACAAAAATCCACATTGAGGGAAGTTTGCTTTCTATGCTGGTCACTCTCAGAAGTCTGAAAGAAAAATCTTTTTTATCAGCTCTCAGGTTGTTAGTGTGTGCTCAGGACTGGAGATGGCAACTTCTGCTTTTAGGTGAACCATGTTTTCTCAGTTTAACTCAATTTTTATAAAGAAGTTAAATTGAGAAACAAAGCAACCATTAATGCAATCATACAATGAAAATGGCATTCAGGAATACATCTAAATATGCAACAACTAGAAGGCAAGAACAAATACTGCATAAAAAAAGAGTTGATGGTCAGAACACTGAAAAAGTTGTGTGGCTTTCAGATGAGCATTACTAGAGATGCAGAATGCTTCTAGATGCTCTAGTCTCTAGTTCACGTATCCAGCTTACTTCCCATATCCCCTCTGCTTTTGGGGCAGGATCTTGATGCAGCTAAAGCAAGTTTGGTTGCACCTACAGAGCAACAGAACATCCTCACAAGTGTGGCTTGCACTGTGATGCCCCTCTTGGCATGATACTACTTATTCACTTCCTCCACAGGAAGGACAAAAAGATCTCTCTGTTCTGTTGTTGTTCTGTTCCTCTGTTCTGTTGTTGGAACGGAGGAAATTCCTCTGGCTGCCTGGAGGACTTGAGCCCCTGCCCAGGGGGCGCAGAGACCTTGGCACAGAGCCCAAAACCCCAGTGCCTTTGATTTAGCCCTTGGAAAAACCAATTGCCACCTTTATACGAAGAATTACAAGTCAAGAAAGTTTAAGTAGAATGACAGTGAATTTATCACAGGGTGAAAAATAGATTTTTGGGGTTTTTAGAATGAGGGCTCAGGGTCCCAAGATGGAGGAATTTGGGCGTGCCCTGTCCTTCTTTCTTCTTCCTAGCCTCCATGTTCTGGGTGATGTTGGCACTTTTAGATTGGTTTAAGGTAGAAGCTCACTGTCTAACATAGGTGATAGGTATTGGGAAGTTATTGTAAATAGTGTACAAGTAGTTTTTAGTATAAAAAGATAACACTGCCCCCAGGGGCAGGCAGTGTGCCTCAACCCGGCCTGCCAGACAGACCTCGGTGGGTTGGAGAAACAATGTTATAGATAAGAAACAATAAACAACCTTGAGAATGAGAACAGAAAAATCCTGACTCCTTCTTCAATGACCAGGCTGGGAAAAAAGAAGCTTGTACGTATCTCAGGGTCTGACCAGCAGAAGTCCCGAGACTCTGTGGGTTCCTTCACCAAACTGGGCCACAGATACCACACTGACTTTCTTTCCACCCACAGACAACATCCAGGATCCCAGATCTGAACAGAGTTTTGTCTTGAACTTCCAAGAACTGAATGAGCATGTTCTTGGTAGGTCTAATATCAAAGTCCTTCCATAGCCTTGAGGCAAGGTTTTGTGCTGTAATTGACAAGTCTGAGGTTTCATCAGATAAAAAACTGACTTAGGCTGGCATTGTGAAAAGCAGGAATCCCTATGTGGTGAGCAGGAATTCTGAAGACACCAAAGCTACACTGTAACTTCTCACTTCCACTGAGGAATGAAGAAGGACATCTTCTCCCCTACTCCAGACATTCAGCAGCGTGACTGGGATAAGTGCAGGGCTTTGAATCTGGATGGAGAAAGGATTCTGGAGGGGAAAGCTGACAAAGGATGAGGATCTACCAACAGCATCCTGGTGTTTAGAACAGGTGCTTGCAAGGCTAGAAACTTGCAGGCCAAGTCGAACTGCTACTGATTTAATTCATTAACTAGATTCAGGGCCTTGATTTTCACATGGAGAGATGATGGGTTATTTTACCTTGTTAAAATAAAAAACGAAATATTTACACCTAGTCAACACACACATAACAGCAATAATGTAAGCATACAAACAAGAACATGGTGTGAAACCGTGGCTATTTAGTTTAGTGAACAACAGTAAAGCGTTTGCATCCCGATCTCCCACCCTGATCAACCACTTTAGAATCAAAGTTTTACAGAGAAGGCAACAGAACTAGCTAAGTTTTTCATCAAAGGAGGACATCATGATACCTGCAGCCACAATTACCCTCTCTAGCTATCCAAGCACCATCACCTCCTCCTTTCAGTTGTAAGTTCTTTGGAACCTGGAATTTTTTTCTCTAGGCAAATCTATAGCACATGGACTGAGTGGTCAGAGTAGCAACGGCACGCCAGTTTACATAACGCAAGGTAACAAAGTCCCTTGACTCACAGAGAAAGTTGCAAGAAGATACTCAGTTAATCATGCCTCAGTCACACTCATTTAGAACTCGGCAAAAGCGCTGCAGATGAGATAAGAAATTGCAGCTAAGGCTTAGCATGGGCAGACTCATGCAGCGTGCAGTGTCCCGGCTTCTCCCCTGGCCCTCCCTGCACACCCGCACCCCCAATGCTCTCTTACAGAACAGGACCGCTCCATATCAATTAAATAAAGCAAATTGAAGACCTCAGAAATAGCATGAGGAGGAAATCGCAGGGGCGTGCTCTGAGCTCTCAGCAACAGAGAAGTTCCTTTTTAAACAGGGGAATACAACAGCTCCTATTTTAGGCACATTCATGAAACTCCCAAAGCAAAAAAAAAAAAAAAAAAAAAAAAAAAAAGAAAATGGAAACCAAAACAAAAATCCAAAACCCAAAGTCAGAAGAAATAAGAAATCCCTTAGACTACAGGAATGATAAGGTCTTCATAGATTAAATCATGCTTTTTGCTCCATCTAGCAATAGCAACTCGCTCTGATAACAAGAACATTTGTACATCCATCTTCAAAAATGAACAGATTTTGTTCAAATGAACAAAATTCAATTTCAAAAATGAACAGATTTTGTTTATCCTCCTCACGTTTACAGCCCAGTGCAAGGGTTATGCGTGTAAGGATTATGCTCCTAAGGCACAGCGGTGGCACATGGATTAAGAAGCCCTTTGACTAGTATTTCAGCAGCAGTCAATGGCAATCATTTACTTGTACCACAAAAATCACACACATCCCCACCCCAAGCTTCCCGTTAACTCAAGTTTGAAACAAACGGGGCACAGGAACGTGCCGACAACAGGGCGGGGAGCTCCTGAACGTGCGGATGGCCGATGCACAGGGCGATGCTCAGCTCTGGTTTTAGGCGCGGGTCGGAAGCCGCCGCCCGATGGTGCCCGCCGCCCTGGGCAGGGCAGGAGCGGCCGGGACGCCCGTGTCCCGCCGGGAGCCACTGTCACAGGGATCGTGGGGGGCTGGCGGCGCCGGGGGCAGCTCCCCGGGCACCGCGGGGCTCTCGGCTCTCCCAAATCCCCGCCGCGCCCGGCTCCGGAACACGCCCGCCCGAACGCCCGGGGAGCGGCGGCCGAGGGCGCCCCGCTCCCGCTGCCCCGGGGGCACGTAGACAGGGAGACAGGGAGGAAAGAAAGCGAAGGAGTCGGGAAGGGTCCCCACCGCTTACCCAGGAGGAGCGAGAGGCACAGGAGCGAGGTCAGCAGCCACATGGGTGCCCGCAGGGTGACTGCCCCGGCAGAACCCGAAGCCGGCAGTGGCCGCGCCCGTCCCGCCCCAGCCCGGCCTCGCCGACAGCCGCTTCCGCTGGGAGGGGCCCGAGGGCTCCGGCTGGCAGCTCCGGGGCCAGCACAGGCCTCATCCCCCGTGTGCCCTGTGCGGGGACGGGTGCCACGCGTGGCCTCGCACTGCCCGCAAAGGGCCTCTGTGGCCATGGGGCCGGCTCCGGGAAGCGCTGGCCACAGAAGTTGTCGTGTTGCTCTTGCCTCAGGGAGGTTCAGCTCGGATAATTGAAAACCTGAAAGTGAATCGATTTAGTGTGGATGGGAGCCACGCAGATTAGGTGAGGAACGAATTTCAACAGGCGGCACGCAGCTCCGCCGCCTCAGCAAATGATCACAGAAATAGACGGGTCAGTTCCAGCCCCTCCGCCATGGGCAGGGACAGCTCCAGCTCCTAACACTCCCTGAAGCCGGGTGTTTGACCACCCTCGTGCTCCCAAAAATGTCCCCTGTTCTCTTCGAGGGACACCTGGTAATATCTCCTTTTGAGGGGTGGGCTCAAGGCTAAGCCTGGCTGCGCTCTCCTGTTCCACACAAGGTGAGGTTGTTCTCTGGGGGAGGTGAGTGAAGGAAAAGAAATAGAACAGAAACCAACTCTGACTTCTAGGGGTTTTCTTTGACACCAGCTGCTCAGCAGCCTATTCACAAAACTCAAACACACTTAGATTCCCTTTCATGAATGGATGACTGGCCTCTTGACACTACTGAGTGTTTTCAAGAAAGAAATGGAAAACCACAACAGTTTGGAAAACATGAGTACTCAGCAGCTACTGAAAAATTGCTGCTCTGTTAGCGTTCCAGAGGCAGCTGTGAGCAGCTTCCCTCTCAGGGCAGTGAGTTGTGGTGGGTGGATGCTTCAGCCTCCTTCGCCTCATTCCACTCCCAGCGCATTACCCTGAGAAGATTCCAGAGCCCCAAAGCATGCTCAGATCCCAGCAGCTTGTGTCTGTCTGTCCTGGGGAACACCAGCACAGCACAGTGCTGGGAGGGAGGCTCTCACCACAGGTTTACCTCTCAGATTTCTCTCAGCACACTCGGCCCCCACACTCACTGACGAGCTGCTGTGTCGGACTGTTCACCACCCCTTTGAGAGACCTCAGCTTGGCACTCCACAGAGCACAATCAGAAAAAGAAATTGGCAGCCATGGGTATCTCCAAGCAGAGGTCCTACCAGAGTAAACACTGAAGTAATCCCAGCTCTGAGGGATTTTTCCCACCTCCATCTAGAAGTTACTGTAAGCTCCTTTGACTCACCACTGAAGACTGCATCATGAGCTGGAGTGACACTGCATCTTGAGCTGAGCAATGCTGTTTCATTCAGTTCTTACAAAACCAGAATAATACTGATCCTTTCTCCACAGCTGCATTGGAATGCCATGACGTGTAGCTCACTTACAAATGGAGACAGGCCCATCCCATAAATTCCTTCTGCTCAGTGACATGGACACATCTGTCCCTTGGTTACCTTTTCCCTTCTGTTCTTAATCTCTGACAAGTGTCAAAGGGAGCTCCCTACCCTGTAAAGGCTCCAAGTCACAGTGTTTATGCCAGAAATGTAACATGGCCATCTTCCTGCAGCACTCTCATGGCAGGAGCACACTTTCTCTGCTGCTGACTCATCCTCTTGTCAGGTAAAATGTCCTCCCAAGATGTCAGAGCCTTTGGATTGAACCTTGTTGCTGGGAGCATGCTTGCACAATACAGCTTTCCTGTAGGTTCCCTAATCTGAATCCAATTCCCCCTAAAGAAAAAGTGGTGTCTGGTGCTTTTTGAAATGTCTTTGGTCATCTTCCTGATCAGACTGAAGAAATTTCTTAATTAGGTTGTTCAACTAAATCTTTGAGGTTAGGAGAGAGAAATTTGAAGCAGACAGTTTCACTTTGAAACAGGTTATATTAGTTCCTTCCTGTGGAAGGAAATACAGAAGGTCACCCACATGCACTTAAGGCAGGCCTGTGTTCTTCCTACTGAGCTGCTCCACATTGTAGAAGATGATTAGGGCTTCACAGGGCAGAGAAACTGAGAGAAAAACTTGAATCTGGAGGCTGGTGCCCTCACCCAGGCTCTTCTACTTGGTGATACATGGTAAGGATGCATTCTCCCTTATGCATACCAGGTGGAAGATCCATAAAGTACTCAAAAAAGGCTCAGGTGGCTGTTTTTCCTCCTTTCCTGACAGAGTTCCCAAGCAGACTTGCCCATGTTTTCCCTTCCTCAGTTGCCAAAACATCTTTGATGTTTACTCCCTGCTCTATCATTGCTGGGACACACTTCTGAAAGCAGGGAGGTCAACTTGCTTTGAGATGAGAACTAATCCTGGTTCCTCTGTCAATCCTGGGAACAATACACAGGAGTCTGCATGCTTAAACCAGAGCCATGGTTTCCACTTCACAGACAAATGACAGAAAATACAGGAGCTCTGAGACCAAGCATTCCAGCAGTAAGGGGGATCCAGAACTTAAAGAGCACCAAGCTAAGCTCAGGGTGTATTTCATGCCCTTCTTCGAATGCAAAGGCCACAGGGAGAGGCTTTAAATAGTCATCATTTGCTTAGCTCACACTTGGCTTCCCCCAAGGTCTGGTGCTGCTTCCCGACTGCATCGTTTCAGTATCAAAAATTAGTTTTGCAGGCTGAGTGGATTTTCCTGTGATCAGATTTCCATTTGACCATTGGGTATTGGCAGTGCTTATATGCCTCTGCCAGCTGTTGCTTTGTGGGTGGGGATTCAACACTTTCAGCTGAGTTGGGCACTTTCAGCATTTTGAATGTGCAGACAGTGCATTTTTAAAATTTTCTTTTTAATTAAAAGAATTTGTGCATAAAATCAAGTTTGTTTGCTTTCACTATCCCTGACATTCACAAGCAAATCACACTGTGCTTCATGACTGTGTGCTGTTAGGGACTGTTAAAAGAAATATAAAGTGATTTGAAAGTCTTTGCAGTAGTGCTCCCATTGCCATTATAATCACTCCCATTGGGAAGCAAAATAAGTGGCATTACGTTCCTGAATTAATGTAACTGTAATTACTCTGTAATTAAGTTCACAAGCAATAAACAGAAAACAATTTATACTAAAATAGCTTTACTAGTAAGAGCATTTAAAGCACAGAGTAACTTGAGTGGCTTTTGCTGTTTGCATATGAAATTGCCACAGTGTGCTGCTATAATAAAAAAAAATCCAGGAATTACTAAATCTAAGAATTAAAAAAAAAAATACTGCTCAGGAAACAGAATTTTCAATTTCATTAAGACATTTCTTTTTTAAAAAACACCAGTTTTGTGCATTTGCAGAATTGTTAAGCACCAAGATGTTGTTTAACAGCTCTGCAAATACACAAAATAAAACCAGATCTGCAAATCTTGGCCAAGGTTATGTTAAACTCTAAGGCTGTAATACTGGTGTCTGCTTTATATTACCTGGCATTTCAAAATTTCCATAGGACTTGGCAATGAAGGAATGGGCCCATTGGAGTGCACAGGCTTTAACTTACAATCTGAGAATTGTAAGATAAAATAAGATTAATCTGATGCTGGGGATGGAAAGATGAAGCGTGGGCTGGAAGCCAGGAGATGGCTATTGGCATTGCAGTTTTCAGTCTTGGAAAATTGATTGGGTTGACAAACTCAGGCACATATTTGTGAGACACTGACAATATCCTCTGACAATAAGCCAGCTTGATCCTGGAGGCAAGTACTTCAGGGTCAGAAGGTATCTCTGTATGTATCTCTGGGAGGATGCAGTTGGGGTGGGATTCAATAGTCCTCCAGGCCAGGCAGCTGAGGCTGCCTAACTTTCAGTGAAAACTGCAGAATTTTATCTCAGAAGATTTGGAAATACAATGAACTTCTGCCTAAAAGAGCCCCAAAGCCTTCAGCTGGAAAAAACTGGGGTGAGGAAATCATTGCTACCACCATTAGCTCTAAAGAAAAGTAGTGTCTGATGCTTTTTGAAATGTCTTTGGTCATCTTTCTGGCCAGACTGAAGAAATTTCTTCATTAGGTTGTTCAACTAGGCCACTGTAGATTAGTACCTGGACAGGGAACTTTGCACATTCCCCTCCCTGCCATTTAGCACAGCCAGGGGCAAAGCTGCCTTGTCCAGTATGACAGACCAACACAGAGGATACAGATGTGTCCTTACCTGAAAGCCCAACTCAGCCAGGGATATGGTACCTCCACATCACCAATGCCATGTTACACGTCTGGGGGTGCACTTATGCTCCTCCATCTGTATACATCAAAGTGGAAAAGTTTTTTATTCAAAGGTCTTTTTGAAGTATTTGCATGCTTATGATGCTGGTGCATTACTGAAGGGTGCCCCCACCCTAAAAGATGTAGTGTGGGCTTGTTATGGTGATATGACCAACAGTTACATTTTAGCCTGCCTTTCCCTCACTTTTCAGGTGTAATCCACTGTTTTGCCTTATTTAGACTGTTACAGGTATCTGACCAAAAGCAGAAATACAGGAAAGACAGCAATGCAGTAGGAAAATACAATGCAAGGCTGATATGAAGTCCTGGCATGGACTCACTGTGAAGCCTTGTGATAAACCAGCATCCTTAGTCAGAATTTGGCAGAAAGGTCTCGGTAGCAAGGATAAAGCACTGTAACTCTATCACTTGCTGGGACTGGTTTCACTGCCTGATTTCTGAAGTGAGAAGTTTCCCTTGAGGAAAGGGAGGTAAGGAGGAAAGGAAGGCCAACATCTCCTTTAAACAAAAAGTCAGTGAAGCCTCTGTTTCAAATTTTGACTAATGGTTTAGTAAGAGCAGAGGTAATTTCTCAAAATCCAAATTAGGTCATTTTCCCAAAAGTGCACAGGCTGATTGATCATTACAGACTCAAGCTGATCATTAACCACAGCTTGTTTTCCCCTGTACAATCCTTATACTTGTATTGGATGAACAGGAAGATGGTTGAAGATCCGAAGAGAAAACTGCTCATGGTTCTTGCTCTCCTCT